GATTACAATTGTCAAATTGTTTTATTTACTTCCATTCAATAATTTCTTGACAGTATAATGTGAACACAGGCTGATGATAAGAGGTTAAGTTTTCACTTTGTACTTAAAATTTTATTTCAATTGGCGCATTAATAAAAACAAAACAATCTCATGATTTGATTTTAATTTCTGTAAAATATTTTTTTCTTCCATGAATGTTGTTTGTTTATAATTTTTGACTTTCATGATCAAAATTACAAATTTCGAACAGCATTTGAATTTCTATGAAATATGTCGATTAGCAGTTGTGTGTTTTTCAAATAAAAATGTAAAGAAAATTGGAGAACTAATCAAAATCAAAATTAATATAAATCTGGATTCAACGCTGCATTACCGTACTATTGAATTATGGGTACCATAATATCAACAATTCCAATCTATGGAAATCTACTATCTATTTTGGTGGTCATTTTCGTGTCAAATAGAAGGAAGATTACATGTGGATTTCCAAATTCCTCAGCATAATGTGAACCCGACCCAACACAAAGTCAGGTTTCAATTTTATGATAAATTTATCATAGAAAAAATAATAAACAATTTGTATGTAAAGAGACTTTAATGATTTGGATTTATTTTCCTCAACCGAATTCTTATTCAAATTTTTATCATTACATTGCATTTTATTTATTTCATGAACAGAATTACAGATTCGAACTTCAGAACGTATTAATATGACCATTGACAGTTGGTGTCACATCGAAGTCGAACATCATTTGTTTACATTCAGATCATGCAATTGATTTTAATATTTCGAGATTGTGATTTTGCAAAGAAAATGTTTATTTACGAAGTGAATTTTGTGTTTGTTTCAGTATTTATTTTAAAATAACAAAACAATCACAAACTAACAACGTAAGAGATCATAATTTCACCATAAATACAATCGAATTATGGAACTTATTGCATCGATATTTTTGTTTTTGTTTTTGTGAAGAAGCACATGTAGTGTAACAATATTATTATTTGAATTTCAAGACGAAACAAAATAAAATTTGATGCGTGTCATTAATCGAATAAAGAGTTCTTTTTAAAATATATTTTTTTGGAAGTGTGTTCGTCATTTGTTTGATGCTTTAATTTTTTTGGATTTTTGCTGTTAGTTCTGTTTCAAAAATGGGTTTCAAGGCGGCTGATCCAAACTCCAACCAAAGGTCAATAAAGCAAGGACTGCCATCACTTATCCACGAATGGTATCGGGATGTAATTGTTGCAATAATCTCGTATTTATCAGTGATGGCCTCGAAGATCACATGCCATGCATCGATGCTCTTCTTAATCTGTTTGTTGTTATTTCATTCAGGAAACGTACATTTTGTTGTTATTTCAATGCGTGATTATCGATCGGACATTCATCCAAATGTATGGAGACCACCCCGGAATGTCAACAATCAGCCTTCACCATTCTATGGACAGCTGTAGCCGTAGTAGTAGCAACCCTTATTCAACACCAACCTGCAATGGAAATTAGTTTTAAACAATTACTTGTTAGTTCGCTAGGCTCGCCGAAGTTCAAAAATAATTTATACTATTATATTATACATATTAATTGTTAGTTCGTGAGTTAAGCTATATTTTAATACTAGCAACTACTCGCGCGAAGGCAAAATTACAGTCAAAATAAGGGTTATTGCCCATGATAGCCGTGTTAGACCACGATGACTGCCCATTAGGGTGGATGACTTTTACGAAAAAATTTAAATATCAAAGCCTACTGGCCAGAGTAGTTGTATAAGCATGAGCTAATTCCAAAACATCCATTTTTTTATGGGATTATATGCAGAGCTGGGCACGAACAGTTGGTCGTTCGTTCGTTAGCGGAAATAATACTTTTTTGTGGTCGCACGTTCAGTTGTTTGGAGAAAAAATAAATAAATATATTTGCTCGAGATTTGGAAGTAATTTTAAAACGTTTGAATTTATTGAATTTTAAACGTTTTAAAATTTACTTCCAAATCTCGAGCAAATATATTGTTTATTTTTTTTCTCCGAACAACCGAACGTATGAAATTGTTCGGTGTCCGATCGCACAAACGAGCGAACGCAGCGAACATTTAAATATTTACGAACGACCGACCGATCACAAAAAAGGAAAAAAACGCACACGAACGACCGATTACAGTCGGAAATTGATGTTCGTGCCCAGCTCTGATTTTATGTTATATAGGGTGGAGAGAACTTTTTCAAAAAAAAAAAAAAATCAAAAAAATTAGCAATAACAATTTCGGTTTACTTTTCACATTTCTACACTGAAATTGATCTTATTTCGTCAATAAAGACCATTTTAGTGTTTATAAAGCTTTAAATGACCATATTATACAGATTTGCTAATACAGGTAAAGTCTTTAATATTCGTTAAAAGGCAGCAAAATTAAAGAATTTAAATGATTCAAAATCAAAGCCAATTGACGCTACTACTGGAAGGGGCCAAGGTTACCCCATTGGAGCAACATTGTTCATCATGTTTGTCATCGATTTGACGTTTGCTGTAAATGATCCATGCATTTTATCATTTGCTGATGATACAAAACTGTCGAAATGCATAAGTTCATATAGTGATTGTGACGCGTTGCAAGAAAATTTGAATCAAATAGCACTTGGTTAGAGTAGAGTTGAGATCTTTTTTTCTCCACTTTCACCAAAGAATGCGAAATCATTATTCTCAATGCCTATGTTCGTAAATTGTTCTTGCTGGAATTGTGGGCGAATGATTGTCTTCATTTGATCGTCGTAATCTCATCCTTCGTTTCTCGCTTCGCTGGAATGGATGGCTTGAAGCGATTCGCCATTTTCCTATTGAAAAAAAACACACATTAGATTTAGTTTAAAAACGAATACTATTGATTTGACGATATTTAGACATTTTCATTGATCCATATCAATAATTTTTACTTAATGATTTTTCATATTAATGATACCTGTTTTGGTATTCTAACGACATAAATCCGATCGAAATTATTGTTTATCGGAATAATTGTTTTGTGTGTGGAACAATGATCGAACTCATTGAATAACACAGTAAAACAATCGAACACATTGGATTATTGGATTATACGAG